AAAGAAAAATGAAGACAAAAAAATTTCTTTTCTGGTTGAAAGAAGTTCATAATACTAGTGGCAGAAATAAAAGAAGCGCCTTAATTCGACCAGTTTTGTTTATATTCCTTTTGTCTATCCAAAATTTAAATTTTTTATAAAAGTCTACCTCATATTACATATAATTAACAGCATATAAATGGGCATTTCTCTGACGTCATATTTTTTTTTAAAGACTTTATCGAGCCCTAACCGCCAAAATAACGTAAGCGACAGTTTTTTTTTTTCTTTTTGATGCAGAAATATTCCAAGAGCATCTAGATGCATTTCTGCATCAAAACGAAAATTTTGAAAAAAATGCCGCTTACGTTATTTTGGCAGTTAGGGCTCGTTATAATTTCAAAAATATGGTTAATTCCAAAAATTTATTTTAAAAAGTTCAGTGCAATGTTAAACAAAAGTATGGGCAACAAATGAAATAAATTTTTTTTTTGGGTTCACAAGGACGAAGAGGTATCTAATAATCTATTTTATTTGTTTAAGCTAATAAAGTTAGTCCTTAACATATAATTTTTTCAAAAATAAGAATTGAAAAATTTGAAGGATATTCAAGGATCCATACTTACCCATCCCTTACGCACCAAAAAATGTAATGTGTTTTAACTCTTCAGAATCTTCTCTTTCATTTGATACCCATACTGGTTTTTTTAAGTATATTGCACTGAAATTTTTAAACATTTTTTGAATTACTCATATCTTTCAAATTTCAAAGTTCTTTTAAAAAATCCTGACATCAGAGAGAAAAATTAAGAACGCAATTTTACTATATTTGGCCATTGGTTTGGCAAATATATTGATTTCTTGTTGTGTGCAAAATTGCCTGCCGCAAGGTATTATATGTATATTGAGCTACACATTTATAAAAAAAACTTTTAAATATTAAATAAACAAGATATATAGCCAAAACTGGTCAACATAAAGCGTTTCTAGTATTGCCATCAGTGTAAATTACAAATCCCGAAAATTCCGGGATTCTAGGCAAATAATCGCGGGATTTTTGGGACTTAAAAAGACCAGGATCCCGGTTTTAACATTCCTAATGTGTATGTAATGTTGCATAACAAGCCAATTAATTCCATTATTTCTTTTTTGTTTTGTTAACTCCGTTAAATTAACTGATTTTATGAATTGTTACATTTATATTCAATTTTTTATAGAATCGGCATCGGCATAGGCATCGGCCGATGCTTTCCCCATAAGCCGATTAATCGGCATCGGCATCGGTACCTGAAAAAAAATTGGAAGCGGTCGGACTCTAATGAGTTGTCCCGCCACTGACCCGCCATGGCGCGCCATTATAATTTCGTTTGGCAAGCAATTAACAAGGATTCATTAAACGCAAGTAAATATCTTTTGTTATGGAGGTTTTTATTACTACTAGTACTAGGTTACGCATCGAGATACAAAACGTGGTTCGATTACAGGCTACGTGTTACTACTACAAGTACTAGGGCGAAGTTACGCAGCGGGAGTCCTAGGACAACTCCATGTTAAATGCGACAGCAGAAAGCATGGGTGGTAGATTTGCGAGGTACTGATATTCGACTCAGGATGGTAACATAGAAACAAAGTGTATTTTGTAGCAAAAGAGGTGAATCCACCTAATTGTCCAGAGCATCGGCCGATCGAAACCTACTGGGCCGTTATGAAATCCAAACTTCTTAAGACCCACAAAGCTGTAAAAAACGCACAACAATTCAAAAATAAATGGCAGCTGGTTTCCAAGGAAATCACTGAAACTTCTGTGCAAGGGCTAATGAAGGACATAAAGTCAAAATTGCGATCGTTTGCTTATTACAAGGAGAATTAACTCTTTTTTAACGAATTTCAATAAAACTAAGTTTAGATGTAAATATATGTAAATATCGTTGAATTCCATTAATATATTTATGTTTTAGAACGTTTTAACTGTGACCAGTTTTTTTCGTGTACATTCTTTATTAGATTCCGTTGAAAATTAAAAAAAAAATTTTTTTTTAATATTTTTATGCAAATTTTTTAAGCTTAAACCGTTTTGTCATTTGAGGGGATTTTTTCAAACAAATCTTTAAGAAAATATTTTGATGCATAAAAAACTCCATTTTTGGAGGTATTTTCAAATCGGTCCAGCTCACGTAAATCTTAATGTTTTTCCGAAATATTTTGGTGAAAGTCTTAAAATATAAAAGATTTTAGAGTGTCGACTAGTAGTAGATAAACGCCCTGCGGAATTCTAGTGCGCACTGTAAACCAGTAGAGCACAGCGGCCGCCAATTAAGTTGGGAAATCGGATAACTTCATTTACTATGGCTTAGAAATAAAATTTGCTGATTTTGTATTGATGCGTTTCGGAAAACAGCCATAGCCAAAAGTGGTCAAATTGTTGAGCTGCTATTATTCTGACAATATGTATAGATGAAATAGGCCCTGAAATGTATACAGATAAAATATTGGTTTCAAAATCGCCGCTTTAATTTATAACAATGCCTGAGATATATGTATGTATATGGCAAAAATTACTGATTATTTTCACAAAAAATTAAACGCGCTTAGGGTTTTATTGGTTTTTATCTACAATAAATCGGTACTTTTGACGTAGAATACGTCTTACGTTTCGATATGGAGGCTATGCTCATATNCACAATAAATCGGTACTGTTGACGTAGAATACGTCTTACGTTTCGATATGGAGGCTATGCTCATATCTTGTGGTTGTAATTTTTAGAGCTTCACGAAAACGCTTACTGCACGAGAGCTAATGAAGCGATTTCAAAGAAGTGTGGCGTTTCAAAGATAAAATTCCTAGCCTATCGACAGATTCATTTTTGTAAGTAACCAATTCGGTTTCTGTCGTAGAAACAACGGTAAATATTGGCTTATTTTCGGATCAATTTTGAGCCTTTGAAGTGCTATATATAGATATAACTTTTATTTTCGGGATATAGGTTCTTTGAAGCAATAGAAATATTATCATGATATATTGAACATTTTAAGCCAAAAAAATTATGAAAAAATTTGAAACATTTTTTTATTACCAAAATGCTCGAAAACCGCTCGAATGATTTTGTTTTTGTTTTCTTTAATCAAAAATTCAGGTGTTTTCCTTTCGTTTGGTTTATGGGAAGTATTGGTTGATATCTTCTAAGTATGTATAATTTATTCAAATAAATAATTTCCCATACAAAATCACTTCCGTCATCAGTTTGCAAACACGCGCATGCGTCCGAAGTGAGAGATGGAGACAAAAAGTATGTGCGTGTAGGTATTTCGGCTTTTGAGTAACAGATGTCGCAATATTTATAACCTAATCGCAGCGTATGTATGTATGTAAATACATATGCTCTCACCCCCTAGGATTTTTCTATACGGAAAAAAATATACCACTATTTTTTTATTTTGAAATAAAAAAATTATTAGAGGTCGCTCNATACATATGCTCTCACCCCCTGGGATTTTTCTATACGGAAAAAAATATACCACTATTTTTTTATTTTGAAATAAAAAAATTATTAGAGGTCGCTCAAAGCGCCAAAAGTTTTACATGTATTTTATATGGGGAAAAAACAACTTTTCGTAGAAATGGTATAGAATTCTTAAAACTCAATATTTTTCTATCGGAAAACTCTGCTTATCTGCAGGAGATTCCTAATAATAATACCTAATTGTTTATTTAACCATTTTTTCATCGCAACTATAATTTATAGGTCCGCCGTAAACCCACGAACACCCCGAAAAATGCAATGGGGGACAAATAAAAAATCGTTAGTATTAAAAAATTTTTAAATAAACAATTGGGTACTATTAATAATAAATATATTTATTTTATTAATAAAAATATTTATTTTCACAAATTCTATATCATTTCTACGAAAATTTGCTTTTTCCCATATAAAAATACATGGAAAACATTGAGCGCTTTTGTCATATGTTTTAGAAATTAAATTCAACTTGACTTAAAGGAATTAGATACACAATTTAAATATGTATCGCAACATGTGTGCCAGTCGAAAAACATTTAACAAGGTCTTGGTTTTAAAATATTTTGAGTAGGGTTGCCACCTGTTTTAAAGTTAGAATTAGCATAAGTTAAATGAAATATTAAAATGTGACGTGAAACGAAAGTGGTAGGATATCCTTAGTTTGAATGTTTAGAATATTAAAGAGGGTTGCCACCTGTTAAAAAAGGAAAACTGAAATTACTTAATAAGTTACAGCAATTATTAAAAATACGGGTATCAAATGAAATGGGTTTATCTCTGAACTGTATTTAGGAGCGTTGTCGCATATTTAAAAAATCAAATTTAATTCATCAGGCACATGAAATATGTAGGTATCACAATATCAGACGCAAGAGATTTGTTTATTTCTTAACTATATTTAGGAGGGTTTCCAGCTGTTTCAGAATTCTTAACTAACTTATGCGCAAATCCGAATATAATGCGAAGACGAGCAGAATACTAATACGGGGACCTGGGCTGATATAAAAAGTAATATAAATTTCTGCACTATGAAATGAAATACAAATGAATCGAAGTAGTGATATACGTCATGGCATATATCTATTTATAAGCTGATGGTATATATAATTGAAGTTAATGTGGATCTGCTTCTCTATTGCTAATTATTAATATTTTGCAATTCATATTGATTTATCAAATTCAATTCAATACAATCAAAACGAATATTTATTTCATGTACCGTTTTTAACTTGAATGCGATCTTAATAATATTACGTACTCTACGTTTAAGTTTAGCGGCTGTAGCTCCGACACAGCCCGCAGGTCAAGACGAAGGCGCTGGACTGATACTTTTTGCTGAATATAACAAAAGTCATAAGTTAACTAACTAAATTTTTTTGCTTTTTGTTTTAAAATATTGAGTTTGCTCGAATTTTATTTTTTCTGTATGAAACGTTCCTGACTTCAATTTACTAAATCATTTAAATTTTATACAGCATGCAATATGTGAGGAGTTATTTTTACCTTTCTTTCAACTTTCACACCTAAGTTCTCTTCAATCAAGTCATAGTCATCATCTTCCAAACGATCGTCTAACTCATCATCGTGTTTTTTCCTTTTCTTCGATCCTGTATCAGAATCTTCAGCATCGCTCGCTTCTTCTTCGATTGGATTATCATCAATCAAGTCCTTTAGCTCTTCCCGTAGACGCTCCTCGTCATCTGCAAAAAAAACGCGATTTTATCAGCAACATATTTTCCTGTTAACAGGCCTATTCTGCTTGTTACTGAACATTTTGTAACCGGGAAATTTTGTTACCAAAAAGTGACAACACATCCGCAATTCTAGGTACCTTGGTAACATTTTAATTTATTCCGAAATTCAGCTATGAAGTTTTGTGGATATTCTGGTGTTGCATATGGGTGTTTCGATAGCGGACGTGACATTCGTTAATAATAGAAATAATAGAGTTAAATAAATCATACAAAAACGGAAATCGCTTAACAAAAATGTGCCGTTGTCTAGCTTTTATACCGTCCATTGACAAACAAATTAGGTGCGCTTGGAACACTGGTGTCAAGAAAGCCAATAAAAAGGTGGTCATAATGGACGTGACGAAAATAGAAGTGGTTTCAGAGTATATGTAAAAATAAATAAAATAAAAAACCTTTTAATATACCACGCTTTTATAAACGGACTAAACAGTAGAAAATAATATTTCTCAGTCCCATTGAATTTGTTTGGATAACTTTTCATTTTGAAATTTTAGCAAAAATCATTAAAAACAATTTACGAGATTGTAAACGAAAAACGTGCAATACAAAGCATTAGATTTAATTGACAATAGTAAATAGAGTCCGACCGATTCCAATTTTTTTTCAGGTACCGATGCCGATTAATCGGCATATGGGGAAAGAATCGGCCGATGCCGATTCCATTAAAAATTACAAATAAATCTATTAATTCCTAAAACCAGTGAATTTAACGGAGTTAACGAAACAAAAGAAAAAATAATAATTGAATTAATTGGCTTGTTATGCAACTTTACATACACATGTATGTAAATACATATGTATGTGTAAAAATATATGTACATATGTATATCACATTTATGTACATCACATAAAACACTTTTTAATATGGTGCTAAGCAAATTTTTAAATAAAAGTCTAGCTGGTATANAGTATGTAAATACATATGTATGTGTAAAAATATATGTACATATGTATATCACATTTATGTACATCACATAAAACAGTTTTTAATATGGTGCTAAGCAAATTTTTAAATAAAAGTCTAGCTGGTATACAACCAACACCATATAAATTCAGATTTAAAACTTTGTACAAAAATTACAAAAATTCTGCTTATTTTCACCAAAATTTCAAACTTTTTAATCAGAATTTTGGTATGCAGTTTTTAGACCATTTAATTCTAGTATAATGAAATGCAACTTTCAAGCTGCTATAAAATCCCGTTAATTTTTGTACAATTTTTTTGCTGGCAGTGTTTTACATATAAAAGAAAATTGTCGAACATACATTTGTATGGAAAAAACGTGAAACACCTTCAACCAAAAAAGTTTAATTTTTGTGAGCTGTCTGCAAATGTTTTTCAAGTTGGCTATTGTCTGTCGCTTCACTTGATCATACGAAAAGGCATTCCAAAGAATCGGCGAAAAAGGCCGATGCCGATGCTCAATTTTGTGCCGATACTAGCCGATGCCGATGACGAATAATCGGTCGGACTCTAATAGTAAGACTACATCACATAGACCTAAAATTTCTACAGCGAAAGTACAAATTTGAGATCGATTTCAAGCGGTCGTTATTCATATACCCACATACATACATATATTGCTTTTCATATCAATTCAAGTCTATTACATGCGTCCCACGCCCCACTCTTTTCATTTTCAATCTCGTAGATTGTTTATAATGACGTTTGCTAAAATTTGAAAATCAAAAATTATCAAAAGAAATTCTATGGGACTGAGAAATATTATTTTCTACTTTTTAGTCCATTTATAAAAGCGTGGTATATTAAAAATATTTTTGATTTTATTTTCTTCTTTTTAGTCTTGTCTGTATAAAATTTTGCAATAGATATTAAAATAATTTAACGATATTAAAAGATTAGTGCTTACACATATGTTAGTGTTTGGCCTGGCTTTTTCCCAATCTGCTTCCCAACTTGTCCCTGGCTTGTCTCAGACTGCTTACCAACTGGTCCCCAAAGACTAATTCCAACTGGGCCCCCGTACCGCAAGTCGTTCCCAAGTCACTCCACCAAATTCAGCCACTGAGACAAACACCACGTGTTCGTCTCTATCTACCAAAATCAATCAAAACTTACCAAAAATTTTATTTAAGTTTTCAATATTTTTGTAATGTTAAGTTTATTAAAAAGATAACATAACATTTAGAAAAACTAAAACACACTAGTACAATAAAGACAACGTATAACAATTTATTTTACTGTACAGATGTACACAAATGTTTGTCTCTTCACACATACATTTTTTTTTTGTTCGTAGGAGAGGGAAATGCTTTAAGCACTGGCCGGGGCGCTAGTCTCTATACTACCTTCCCCGAGTGTGGGACTCCCACCGAAGCGTGTTGGGCTACCCACTAAAACCCAAACTCCCACCGCCCGCGCAAGAATCCCGCATCTGCCACCGCAATTCTGCATGTCTTCAGATGCAGGAGCGCGCTGCTAGAGCCTTGGGGCTGCTCTTTTGTAGGGGCGTTTCATTCGGGTGTCCTCAGTAGACAACCGTCCTCTCGTTTGCAGCGGAGTACGAATTTCACGTATCTCGCAACTGCTTCCCACTTTTCTGCGCTGGAAATCATTATCCCAACTATGTTGTCCGGAGTAATGTCTCCGTGTCTTTCTTCCAACATTCTGCGCGAAATCAAGAAGTGTTCGCAGGTGAAGAATGTGTGGTACACGTTATCTTCGACGTTTCCACAGTAGTGACAGAACGGTGAGTCCACCCTTCCCATTCTATGAAGATATTCTCGGAAGTAACCATGACCGGTGAGGAATTGCGTCAGGTAGAAATCGACTTCCCCATGTGGTCTGTTCAGCCATGTTTGAAGGTCGGCTATCAGGGAGTGTGTCCATCGACCTTTTGTGCTCGCGTTCCAGTTTTGTTGCCACTGCTGGATCAGTTGCTCGCGCGCCCTTGCCGCGGCAGCTGCTCGACCTATCTCGGCACTGAGATTGTAAATCTCTTTTCGCTCGTAAGCAAGTAGCTCAATTGGCATGACGCCAGAAATAACTAGAACCGCGTCCGCGGACACTGTACGGTATGCAGAAGCAATGCGTAGTGCCCCTCTGCGCTGTACCGAAGACATTTGAACCCGGTATTTTTTGACTTTCAATGCGTCAGCCCATATTTCTGCCCCTTGCAGAAGCACCGAATGTACTGCTGTCATCAGAAGCTTCCTGTGGCATGGCTTCGGGCCGCCCACGTTCGCCATCAGCCGGCTTAGAGCCACCGTGCTCTGCGCAGCTTTTTCACATACTCCATGGATGTGTTCCCAGAATGTGAGTTTGCTGTCCAGCTTCACCCCTAGGTATTTTGTAGACCTAGAAGTTGTGACGAGTTGAGGTCCGACCATCATGTTTATAATTGTTGGGATCCGTTTCCTGGTGAGGAGCACGATATCTGTTTTGGCGGTAGCCAATTTCAGACCGTGATCGCTCATGCATCCACTGACGTTGCGCATGACCTGGTTTAGTTTGAGCTGTGCTAGCTGGACGTTTCTTGCTGTTATGACGGCGGCCACGTCGTCCGCGAAGGCGACAAGGAAGGCGCTCTCCGACATTTCCGTGCGCAACAGACTGTCATACGTGGCGTTCCAGAGGTCCGGGCCAAGTACAGACCCCTGTGCCGCTCCGCCGGTTATACGTCTCTTTCTCTGACCTTGTGTTGTGTCGAACAAAAGCCAACGGTCTCTTGAGGCAGTCCCGGATCATATCTAGCAGGTATGTTGGAACCTTGAATGACCGTTCCAAGGCCTCCAGCATGTCGTCCCATCTTGCCGAGTTGAAGGCGTTCTTGACGTCGTGTGACTAGCAGCACTATTGGCCGCGCCTGGTGGCAGGCTTCTTCGGCCTTATGTACCGCCTCGACTACTTCGCCAATTGCTCCTATAGTTG